CCAGCCCACTGGCCCTCCCGTTATCAAGGGCTGCGCTCAGACACAGGGCGTTTGAAGATCCCTGGGAACCTCGCTTCACGTTTAGCTCATTTAGCCACTGCCTGAAGTCTCCCCACATGGCAGGTTCGCTTGGAAGTCAGAAAGAGTCAGTACGCGCAGAACGTCCGTCTTCCCAGTTGGGGCTGGAAGACTAAAGATTCTGAGAGCGTGTGGCTTGTTGGGACCAGTTTTAATTTGAACAGGGGAAGGTGGGGGTGGGAGGTTGCATTTGAACTTCAAGAAGGAGGCGGGGGCACAGCAGGGACCGCAGGCGCTGAGGGACAGAGCCAAGAGCCCTCTGCACTGTGGTCTGAAAAAATAGTTCGAAAAAGGAACGCAGAGATGCGGAGGCCTCCAGCCGGGAGCCCCAAATCAGACTTCAAAAGCGCCGCGAGTTTAAATGTGTTTTAGAGCCGAAGGGTGGCTCCTTCTTCCTCTGGCTAGACTTTAAATATTTCCCAATTTCATCCCTCCGGTGAAAAGCCAGCAGAATCCATATCAAATGTACTTTGTTGTTAACCAACATACAGTGCTTTACTGTATGTTGTGTAATCAAACACGAAGCCTTAACCGAAAGTTGGGGGTGGGGGGAGAACATTCTCACCTCCTCCCTTCCCTGTCTGGCTTCACGCACCTCCGTGTCTATGTGCATTGCTGGGGTGGGGGTGCAGGGTCTCGGTGGTGGATTTCCAGCGAGGATTCACCATGGAGGCTCTGCACCCCATTTTCCCACTTGGGTTAGTAAAAGCTTGTGATTCTGCAGCTTTGGCCTCCTGGCCATGATAATTCAGACCTCGGTAAGGTTGCTGGCTTTGTCCTCCTCTGTTGAGAATCTCCCCTGCGCACTGACCTGTTACAACAGCCCAGGTAAGTCGAGACCCTGGTCAGTGCCTCCCCTGACTGGTCTGGCCTCTCGTCCCCTCCACTCCCTACTCTGGGCTCAGGGGATCGCCACCTGATTCAACGGATCCCACAGGAGCACTGTAGCACTGTCCTCCCGTTGTTCATCAATTTGCTCGAGCGGGCCCAGTAACGTCTCCATCGTGAGACTTGTTGTTACTGTGTTTGGCATATTGAATACGTCACGGGGAACTTGCCAGGCTTTGCCGTGTAGGCGAGATACTCTCGGTAGCTTGCTGGGCTCTTCAAGAGAGGGATAGGAACCAAGCCTGGATTGGCCAGGTCAGCCAACGGATCCCAGTCATCTAAAATTTTTTTCTGCAGAGGAAACACAAAGAAAAGACAGGTAGATGGATGCACAGATGTTGTTTCTCAAAGAGGGCAGTACTGTGTGCCCACCTACCCAAGCCATGGACAAAGGCACTGGAAGAAGCCAATGGGCTGATAGCTGTCTTGGGTTTAGTTGGGGGAGGGGCACTTTCTATTTGTTCACTTAATGATTGTAGGTTGAAGTGGGGGAGTGCTATGAATTTTTTTCTGTTACAGGGGAGGGTGCCCAAGAAAATGGAAACGCATCCCCTGATTATGGATTGGAAAGATTAACATTGTCAAAATGGCAATACTCCCCAAAGCATTATACAGATGCAATTCAGTCCCTATAAGGATATCCATGACAGTTTTCAAATAGATCAAACACTCCTGAAATTCATATGGAACAACAAATCCTTATGAACAGCTAAAACAATCCTTGGGGGAAGACAATGCGAGGCATCACTTTCCCCAACTTCAAACTGCACTACAAAGCAGCATTAATTAAAACAGCGTGGTACTGGGGGTATGGTGCTGCCAGCAGTCAACATGTACCTGTCAGGTGAGTGCACCAGCAGTCTGATGGCGCCTTCAGACTTCCAGATACCCCAAAATTGCTGCTGTGCCTTTGGCCAGACCCCAAAAACTTGGGGCAAAGTTTACCAAGAAAGTAAACTGCCGAAAGTTAGGTATGTGGGAAACACACCCACAAACCACCTCCGGCTCAGCTATATAATCGGAGGCATGGCCTCTCTCATTCCTGATTGAACTGTTTAATGGCCATGATCTCAGAGACTCAGAAACAGATCTCGAAACCCAGCGACTTTTGGCAGAAATGCGTCCGGTCCCTGCAGTAGGTTACCGGTGCTGGGCCAACCCAGGTGGGAATAGGTTTCGTGCCTTGGCCTGCTCCCCCTGGCGGCCTGGTGGCCACCATCCTCCAGAGGCTACTGGACAGTGAAGAGACACAGGGCCTCACGGGATGGGGGTGAAGCCGGTCCTGTCCTCCCCACCCCAACGAGACCCCAAGTCATCGCCCACGAGTGGCCTCTCTGGTTCCTGATCATGCTGCTTAACAGCCATGATCCCCGAGACTCAGAAATAAATCTCAAAACCCAGTGGCTTTTGGCAGAAATGTGTCCAGACCCCACAGTAGGTTACTGTTGCTGGGCCCCCCCAGTGGGGAAAGGATGTTGTCACTCCGCCTGCTCCCCCTTGGTGGCTCGGTGGCCGTCATCCTCCAGAAGCCACTGGACAGTCAGGCTTGGGCCCGCAGTAACAAAACTTGTTGGGCCTCACGGGATGGGGGTGGAGCCAGTCCTGTCCTCCTCACCCAAACGAGACCCCAAGTCATCACCCACGAACGGCCTCTCTGGCTCCTGATCAAGCTGCTCAATGGCCATGATCCCAGAGACTCAGGGGCAAATCTCGAAACCCAGTTGGCTTTTGGCAGAAATCCCTCCAGATTTAAGTGTTAAAATTTTGGAATTTCAAAATCACATGGCCCTACTACAGCCACGCGACATCATATGTTATTCATAACCAACAATAGAACACAAATTGTCTACTGTTGCCTTTTCAGCAGATCTGAGTGTTGGGGTAAAATCTCAAATAATAATGGTGGGTCTGGTGTCAAAATATTGAATGTGATCAAAGTAGAGAGAGAGTAATGTGGAAATCATCTGCCCCACAGGTAGGGGGAGGGTATGGGATGGGGGTATACTGGGGTTGTTGGGGGTGGAGAATGGGCACTGGTGAAGGTACGGGTGTTTCATTGTATGACCGAGACTTAGACCCAAAAGCTTTGTAACTGCTCTCACAGTGATCCAATAAATAAAATTATAAAAAATGAAAAAAAAGTAAGGTGGAGTTCATGCACAATTCAATCAGCTAATCAGTGGCTGAATAAATAGCAGTACTCCTACATAAAAAAAAAAAAAGCATGGTACTGATATACAGATAGACCCGAAGATCAGTGGAACAGAGTAGAATGAAACAGACACAGACCCTCAAGCATCGGATCACCTAATCTTCGATAAAAGAGCAAGAAATATGAAGTGAAGCAAGGAAAGCCTCTTCAACAAGTGGTGCTGGGAAAATAGGGCAGAATTCAGGTTCAAAGACTGCAATAACAGACCTGAATCCATAACACACATGGAGGAAAATGTGCACAGAACTCTCCATGACATTGAAGCTAAACACGCCAAAGGATGAAACACCACTGACCAAGCAAGTAGAAGTTAAGATAAACAAATGGAACTACATTAAACTAAGAAGTTTCTGTACCTCAAAAGAAACAGTGACCAAGACACAGTAACAGCCCACATATTGGAATCAAACATTTACCCAATACCTGTCTGATAAGGTGTTAACATCCAAGATATATAAGGCACAGATAGAACTTAAAAAGAAAAAAAAAACATTCAACCCCATTAAAAATAGGGAGAAGAAATGAAGAGAAACTTTCTCAGAGATGAAATACAAATGGCCAAAAGACACATGAAAATATGTCCTATATCACCAAGCATGGGCTGGAGCAATTGCACAGCGGGTAGGATGTTTGCCTTGCACGCAGCCAACATGGCCAACCCGAGTTCGATTCCTCCGCCCCTCACGGAGAGCCCGGCAAGCTACTGAGAGTATCTCGCCCGCACAGCAGAGCCTGGCAAGCTACCCGTGATGTATTCGATATGCCAAACACAGTAACAACAAAGTCTCACGATGGAGACATTACTGGGCCCACTCGAGCAAATCGATGAACAATGGAAGGACAGTGATCACCAAGCATCTGGAAGGTGCAAATCAAAACAACAATGAAATATCATCTCACACCACAGAGACTGGCACAAGTCAAAAAGAATAAGAACAACCAGTGCTGGGGTAGATGCGGGGAGAAAGGGACTCTTCTTCATTGTTGATGGGAATGCCAACTGGTCCAACCTTTTTGGAAAACAATATGGGCATTCCTCAAAAAACTAGAAATTGAGTTTCAATATCAATACCCGCCAATATCAATTCTGTGAATATACCTCAGGGGCCAAAAAACACACAGCAGAAATGCTCTCTGCACTTCTGTGTTGATTGTAGCACTATTCACAATAGCTAGAATCTGAAAAAAAAAACAAAACTGGGGACATTGGTGATGGGAAATACACACTGGTAGAGGGATGGGTGTTGGAACATTGTATGACTGAAACCTTACTCTGGTCAGCTTTGTAACTCTGTATCTCACTTTTTATTTCAGTAAAAAGTAAATAATTAAACAAATTTAAATAAATAAAACATAAAAATAAATAAAAGGGGTGGGTGGTAGACCAAATAAGTTTGGGAACCTCTGGGATGGATGGATGGATGGATGGATGGATGGATGGATGGATGGATGGATGGATGGATGAGTCAAAGACCAATGCAATCAAAGAATGGTAGAGATTGCACAGCAGTAGGGTGTTCGCCTTACAAGCGGCCAACATGGCCGACCCGAGTTCGATTCCTCCGCCCCTCTCGGAGAGCCCGGCAAGCTACCGAGAGTATTCGATATGCCAGGCACAGTAACAACAAAGTCTCCAATGGAGATGTTACTGGGCCCGCTTGAGCAAATCGACGATCAATGGGAGGGCATTGAAAGAGGATACATTTAGTCATTCTGAAACATCCACATGGATCCAGGAAGTGGGGGGTGAGGATGAACAATCCATCCTCTGTGTATTGCCCTTCCAAGTACTTCCAAGCTCACGGAGCCCTTTCCCCTTCAGGGACCCCGGCGGCAGCAAGAGCACAGTGAAGAAGATCAACAAGGACAAGTCCATGGGCCAAAAGTGGGAGAACTTCATCACGGCCCCCAAGGTAATGGGCGGCTCCCCCCACCTCATGTGCATGGCATCCCAGTTGACTTCTGTCCACGGGTTTCTGGGTCACCAATCACACTAGTTGGTTATCAGAAGTCAAAACCCCATACAATTGGCTCAACTTGATCATTCTCATGACAGTGCTCACTTGTGGGTTGCAGGAGGGTTGGCACAAGGCTGATGGACGGTACCTGGGGGAACGTGGGAGGGGCAGGCAAGGTGGTGATTAGAGAAAAAAAAGGAAGTCACCGGAAGTAAATAAATGCTTTTTTTTTAATCAAAAACTGTCAGTTCTCTCCCCCACCCTCTCCCCTTCCCCCTCTTTAGGAGTGAGTGATTCAGCAGACAGGGTGTCTAAAAACTAGAACAAGAGTCTGAAAACATTTGCAAGGGGCCACCCCTAGAAATGTACAAACTTCAGGGATGCTTCTCAGCCTGGAGCAGGCCCCACAATTTGGGGCTCTATCCTGGTGCTGTTTGAAGGTCACTCCCGGTGACTGCTTAGGGCCACTCAGTGCAGGGAATGGAATGCAGGACCTACCTCCTGCCTGTGTGGCACATACTCTGCACTTCCGACAGTTCTCTGCCCCAAGTGTTTATTCTTAAAATCCTCCAGGGGGTCTGGAGAGACAGCACCAGGGTTACAACACTAGTGCTTGCCTCGCATGTGGTTGATCCTGGTTCAACCCCCAGTCCTCAGAGCACCACCAGGACTGATTCCAGGAGTAAGCCCTGAGCATCACCGGGTATGGCCCCAAAACTAAATAAAAAATAAGAGAAGGACAAGAAGTGTATTTTCGGGGCCGGATGCTGCTGCCTTGCATGCAGCCCACCTATATTCCACCGCCGGCATCCCCTATAATTCCCTGAGCACCACCAGGAGTAATTCCCAAGTGTAAAGCCAAGAGTAACCCCTGAGAGTTGCCAGGTATGGCCCCCAAAACAAACAAAAAGGTGCATTCTTTCACTCCCAGACCATTTCTAACCCTCAAATCTTCCAGTTCATCAACTCAATAAGTAAGAGCTATAAAGATGGATAACAGCAAGTGGGGATATTGAGATGCAGTCAGGAGAGTAGAGGGGAGAGGAGGGAAGAAGAAGAGGGGAGGAGACTCACAGCCAGGGCAAGTACTGCCCTGTGCCCCCACCCTCAGAATTGGGTGGAACACGCCTCTCTGCCCACCTCACAGGACAGCAGAGAACCCCAGTGAAGAAAATGTATCATGCAGAGTCACTTGAAAAATGTCGAAATGCTGAGCGTGGTGGTGGCGACTTTTTAGAAGCCATCTTCTAACACAATTACAAGGGGTCAGAGTCTGGGCTCAGGACACTTTTCAGAGGGACCGGCCAGTCTGGCACCTTAATAACCCCAGGGGGCACGCATCCCCAGGGAATCAGACAGGGCCAAGCTATGCAGCAACTTAGAGAGTTTCTGTGACTCGTATGAAGTCACACAGCTGTGTAATGGTGATGCCAAAAGTCCCGCCTGGGGGCGTCTACTCAGTGCCGGGGTCTGCTCACGCTCATTTCTCATGGCAACGTGATTCAAAGAGCACTTCCTGAGGGGAGGCCTCATTTTCTTGCTCTCTCGTCTGACTGCTCCGAGAAGAAATGGACCTTTGTTTTTTATCCTAGAAAGTTGCTATGGAGATATGCATGTGTCTCGCAAGCCCAGAAAAGCAGCAGGAGCCATAAGCCCTTTTTTTATATATACATAAAAATCAGGCACAGAAAATGTCCTTTGGGAATATTCACAACAGAAATTGAAAGAGAGAAGACAGATCCCGCTGTTGAGCTTCTGTGGAATCCCCGGGTGTCCATGGGCTGCTGGGACAAGCCTCAGGCTCAGGAAGCTCAGGAAGGCTGACTTAGTCACTTCCTCCCCCCCTCCTGACCTCAGTTTCCTCACCTGGTCAATGAGTTTTTTTGTTTTTTGTTTGTTTGTTTGTTTTGATGTAGGAGTACTGCTATTTATTCAGCCGCTGATTAGGCTGATTGAATTGTTCAATGAGGACTTTGAAAGAGCAGCTACAATCAGTCCCCAGAGCAACTGCCATTCCTCTGCCTGGGCAGAGCTTGCCAGAGCCAACACATGGCACCAATGAGAGTTAGAATCAGGCAGAGGTGACAGTAGGGAGTAGTGAGGTCTGTAACAAACAGGAAGGCCCGTGCACAGCAGTGGGGGTGAGGCGTGGAACTGCTCAGCGAGAGCTCATTTTGCCATGAGACTGAGAGCCCAGAGTGGATCATTTTCAAGAAAGGATGAGAGCCTCCATTTTTATGGAAAAGCTCTCCAGTTGGCGAAATTTGGACAAGTAAATGCTATGCCTGTGAGGCCCCCGCCCCCCCTTTAAAAAACCGGCTTCTCAGAGAGCAAAAGGAAATCCAATTGAAGGAAATCTTTGTTTCGGTTGCTGCCCGCAAAAAGTGGTTGCTGCTGAGATGGAACATAGCAGCGAGTTAACACGTCTACACACACACACACGCACGCACGCACGCACGCACGTAAACCAGAAGCAGCATTTGGGAATTTAAGTGGACTCAGAATCGGCCTCATATCAAGAGCTCAGCAAGATGCTGAAACTCCCCACCCCACACCCTTTCTTTGCCACTCAGCAGTACTCAGTCTGGATTTCCCGACTGAGCTGGTTAAATGGATTTTAATTAATGGCACTCTGAGGGACAAAAGATGAAATCCTAGTGCAAGGAAGAGACTCTCCTGACTCCTCTGACTGCATCACTTTGCTTCACATACAAGGAAACTGAGTCTGGGCAAAGGACTAGGCCAAGGCTCCAGGCTCTGAGCTCCCCTGGCTCAAAGCCCAGTGCTCCAGGCCTCTCCATGACAACCCCATCCAGCCTTTGGAAATGAAGGGGATAGTAAAAGTCAGTTGGCCTGAGTCAGGAAGTCACAGTGCCCCAGAGGCATGAGGCAAAGGCGACTTCCACATGCATTTACCCCTGAGTTCTGCCAACATCTCCCCCCAAGACAGGACATCAGGGGAGAGGGAGGGCTGACCAGTCTGGGGAGCTCTAAAGCAGTGTCCCCACCAGGGCTGCACTGTCGAAAGCTCCTAGCATGTCAGAGAAAAGAACCTGCCCCCGGGGCATTCACCGTCCCTTCGTCACCGTCACAGGGGACCCACATGTCCCCCAAGGTCTGGGGAAACCCAGTCACCCCACCCTGGTTCTCCCTGGTCAGTCCATCTCCTGCTGCAGCATTCCTTCACGTGCGTAGAATGTCACAGAGGATTGGGGTGGGAGTCTGGCCATGAGCTCCCACCATATACCCCAAGCCCACCCAGTTTTCTCTCCCCCTCTGCCCTCCATCAGTTCCTTCCACTGTGCAACAAAGAAATTTCTCCTCACCTTCCTCTTTTAGTGCAAACTCAGGGCCCCCAGCCCCCAAATGACTGCTGATCACACTCAGTGTGCTCCGTAAAATGAACCCTGGTGGACACAGTTCTCCCCCACGCCCCACTTGGATGTTTACTGAATGTGGCTGAGGCTGTCTCTTCCTCTCTTCTTCCCTGGTAGCCAATACTCAGTTTCAAATGAAATCATTCCTACCTGTCGGGTGTAAACAACAAATGCAGATTGGTCCTAAGCTGGGCTAACTCTCACCCGGGTGAACCTGGCATTTTAAGGGTACTAAAGAATCATTAACCAAAGAACCAAACACGATGGCCTCTCAGTATCTGTGTTGCAAGCCATAATGACCAAAAGTAGAGCCAGATAAAAAAGAAATTGTCTGCCATAGAGGTGGGGGGCTGGAGCAATAGCACAGTAGTAGGGCGTTTGCCTTGCAAGCCGCTGGCCTGGCCAACCCAGGTTTGATTCCTCTGCCCCTCTCGGAGAACCCGGCAAGCTACGAAGAGTATTTTGCCAAACACAGTAACAAGTCTCACAATGGAGACATTACTGGGCCCGCTCGAGCAAATGAACAATGGGAGGACAGTGACAGAGGTGGTGGTGGGGGGGGGATGGGGGTGGCAGGAGGGAAACTGGGGACATTGGTGGAGGGAAATGTACACTGGTGGAGGTGATGTCGGTGGGCCCCACGGGTGACTTATGTGAAGCGGGGAGGAGAAAGACGGTCACTTTCTCCCCAACCGTCTCTGCCACCCGGGACCCAGGGTTACTGGGTTCTTGTCTTGCCTCGAAGAAAGGAATTTCAGGAGTAGACAAGCAGTGAAGTACCAGATTTTATTTGGAGGATTTTTAGGTGCGGATGGGGAGAGAGAGAGAGGGAATAACGTACTCAAGAGAGAACACGGGCTTCTCCAAGGGTGGAGAGAGAGCCCCTACACATATCCTAGCATTAGACACGAAAGCATGAAAGTACACATCTCAAGAGAGGAGATGCGGGCGACACATGTGATCAGCCCACATGTGCTCGGCCATGTGGGCGTAAGCCACATGGGCTTGGCAGCAAAGCACCCTTCCTTTGTTCAAGGTGGCCTTTATAGGGTTTCTCCAGCCTGCCCCCACGTGGGGCTTCTTCCCAGGTAAAGGTCCGTTGCTAAGGAGGTTACCAGGGAGGATGGGAGTGGTGATGGTCTTCTTTGGACCGAATCACTAAAGTTGAGCAGATTAAAGGGGAGGTCCAAAAAGAGGAACTTCATGGAGAGGAGGCCTATATCCTCAGGGTCTGCGGATGGTCTTATCAGGTCTTTGTTTTCTGTATCTGCAAGGTGGGTCATTCCTAGAATTCTTCCACGAAACTTTGTTTCATTGCAAAGGGCCTTTCCCTATCTACCTGCCTACATCAGAGGGATGGGTGTTTGATCATTGTATGACTAAAAATCATGAAAGCTTTGTCACTATATCTCACAGTGATTGTTTAAAAAAATGATAATACATTTTTAAAAAATGGTGTCAGCGGTATTTTCAATGATCCCCTAAAAAAGCATTTTAAAGTATCTTTAGTCCAGGTATATAATAGTAATAATAAATTATTAAGGTAAAATATTATTAATAATAATAATATTATTGTTGCTGTTTTTGGTGCCACCCTGGCCTGAACTTAAACCCTGGTTCTGAAATTTTTTCCTATGTTTCTGTGGTTTTTTTATGTTATTTTTTTGTTTTCTGTGTTTTTTATTGTGTTTCTGTGTTTTCCTGTGGTGCCAGGGATTGAACCCAGGGCCTCAGGACCCAAGAGAGGCAAGTGCTCTCCACCAAGCCTCACCCTTGCCTCACTCTGTGAGCACAGACAAGTCTGGAAGTATCTGAAAGGACAGCAGTCATAGACAACACACATACAGCACGGGCTTGGATGCACATGCACACACACGTGTGCGCACACACACACACACACATACCCATGCACATATACACATCCCTTGCAGTCAATCTCCTTCTGACCCCTTTCCTTCCACAAGCCCATATTTCTCTCACAGGACTATTCTTAGCCCCTTGAAGCTTCCAGGCTTGTATCTGGACCTTTCTAACCACCACAGTCATACCATCTCCCCACCCTGCACCATCACCAGTCAAATATTCCCTGCCTTACTCTGCCTTCAAGAAGTTTCTCTGGCTCATCTTCTTTAGAAACTCCCAGGTAATACAGATCTACATTCTTTGAGACTCAGGCATCCCTCAGAAATTGCCACATGCAATTTAGAATCCAAACCAGGAGGAAGCTTAAGAAACAAGGCCAGTGTCTGGCCCCATTGAGGTTTCCACACTGAGGATCAGTGGAAAGCTGCTGGGAGTCATGGCAACATCCTGGGGCTCTATGTTGACCTCAGGATGACCAGCCAAGCAAGCATGGCACTTTCTGATTAGAATAAGCCCTATCATGTCTGCTCCAAATAATGCACCGTTTAAATGATTTTGCAGTGCACAGGAGGTCATCTCAGACCCCAGAATAGTCCTTGTGGTATTTATCCTCTTCTCTCTCTTTTCTTTAGACCAAGAAATTCAAGCTTCCCGGAATCCGCACCACCAGCCGCAAGCCCAGCCGGCGAGGGTCCATGATCAGTCTGTCTCGGACCAGCATGGGGTCTTCCCCCCAGAGCAGCATGGTCTCCGTGAACCCCCCCGGCTCAGACGACCACCCAAGCGTGATCGTTCAAGCCAAGGACATGGAGGACAATGAATCTTCTTCCACCAAAGCTGAAGAAGAAAACCTTCATTACAGTAAGTGCCCTCTTGAGAACATGACAGTCAGACCTGAAGAACCCCTCCTGCACCACCATCTTGGGTCCCCTTTCCAGCTTCCTTAAACCTCTTTCACTTTTCTTCAATGGAGATCAGAGATGGAGAGGAACTACCATTAGCAACAAAGTACTGGATCTTCCTTCATTCCGCTCATATTTTTTTCAGCAGCTACTTTCTGGATCCGGGGACTAACCGGTCCATCCCAGCAGTGCTCAAGAGTCACCAGGGTTGCACCAAACAAATGCTCAGAGGACCACATGTTCAGGGAATCAAACCAAAGTGGGCCTCGTGCCAGGCGCACACCATAACCCCAGCACGCTTTCGCCAGCCCTGAAGTTCTCTCTCAATCCCTGAGTCAGAGCCATGAGGCTGTGTAGGTGAGAAGCTTAAGGCATTGCTGTTTTTTGTTTTGTTTTTGGTTTTGGCTTTTGGGGGCCACACCCAGTGATGCTCAGGGGTTACACCTGGCTCTGTACTCAGGAATAACTTCTGACAGTGCTCGGGGGACCATATGGGATGCCGGGGGATCCATCTCGGGTCAGTCCCATGCAAGGACCTACCCTCGGTGCTATCTGTCTGGCCAGCCCTTGCTGTTTTTATTCAGCACACAAGGTATGCTTTTTTAGCAGTCATTTTCCAAACTGCCTAACCTGTAACCCTTCTGCTAAAATCTCATTGCCTGAAACTTAGCCACAGGCCTATGTTAACTGCAAAGGATATTGAGAAATTAGGCAAGTAAATACACACACACACACACACACACACACACACACACACACACCTACTTTTATCCACCATTGTGTAAACACAAAAAGAAACAGCAAAGGGGCAGCGAAGAGACATCAGCGGCCTATCTCTCCCGCCGCCCGCATTCAGTAGTCTCAGGCCTTTTCCCCACTCCAGGGAGGTGGATGGCGATGGGCAGGCGAAGGAAGGAAATGAGGGCCAGGCTGATTGGTCTTAGTAGCAGTTTATTACATGGAAGAAATTTATGCCATGGAGGGCCCAAGATCTCTCAAGCACGTGCTCCTTTGTTCTCTCAGTTTCTGTCCCCATTCTCTCAGACCTGTCTCTTCAGTTCTCTCAGCACATCACCCCCCTTCTCTCAGGCAGATGTTCCCCAGAGAGCCCCGAAAATCTCCTTATATAGATCATGGTGGCAGAGTCTCCTGCCCCTGCGCCTGGCTGTCCTCACTGGGGCCCCTTGGAGGGGAGCGGGTTGAGTTTCCCTCCCTGCCCCAACCAGGGCTCCGGCAGCCGAAGACCTCCAGAACCAGCCACCCCTTTGCTGAGACCACTCTCCACAAGCATGAAAGTGTTGGGATCGGGAGTTCCCTGGCCCTGGGAGGCGCGGAGAGACCAGATAGACACAATTCCTGCAGGAGTAAAAACGGGGTTTATTTAGACCAGCATGCTGGGGCTCCGCAGCATACCCCAAAAATGGGCAGTGGCTGAGAGCCCCGAACTTCTTCAAAGGGGATCTTATATAGGCCTTCACTGGCCGTTACAGCAAAGCCCGCGCATTTCATAGCCAATAGATTTGTAACAACATATACTTTCTTAACCAATCCATTTAAAAGTACCTCACTCCTTAGCCTATAGATTCAAAGATCAGCATTTACGTACATCGATTGTCAGCACAAGCAAGGTTATAGCTGGAATCATTAAGCCTTAGGTAATCTCCCTTGACCATCCTCGTTTTGTGTTACCCAAGTCTGCAGGGTGCTTTAGTGAGACAATACATTCCAGGAAAGGGCAATTTCCCCCAACCACCAGCATCCTGAGTTAGCCTTTACCCAAATCTGCAGGGTGCTTTACTGAGACAATACATTTCAGGGACAGTAAATACACCTGAATCTTGTAGAAAGAAGTTATGCCCTGTTCACTTTGCAAGTCCCCTCTCCCCCAGGTGCAAAGCAGCCAAGCAGTTTTACAGAAAGCAATGTTGCAAGTTAGCTAAAGTACACAAAAATTTGATGCCCTAATATGGATTCTTTCATTCCCCACTTCTTTTCATGAGCATCTCTAATCCTAGAGATCGTGGGGGGGTCGGGGCCTAATTCAAGGACCCGTGGTTAAGAGTAGCTTCCCTCAGTGGGTAGAGTCCGGTATTGTTGCCCCGAATTAGGAGGATCTTCAAGACTCAAACCAATTCTCCCAGGCTTCTCCGACGTCGTTCAAGGCCTTCCGGTAGCTTGGCTATAGAGTCTCTGACAACCTCAGTGTGGTCTGCGTAGAAACAGCATCCCTCCACCAGATCAGAGCAAAGCCCTCTGTTCTTGAGGAACAACAGGTCGAAGGTCGAGTCCTCTCAGGTTTTGGGAGACTATCTCGAACAGAGATGTGAGAGATTTCTCGATGAGGTCTTAAAAAGAGTTAAAGCAACAGAAACCAAAGCAACATAATGCCATACCCATCTCTATCATTAAAACAATGAAAAGGATTAACTCTACAAACAGGTTTGGTTGATAATATAACTTCCTGTGTTCAGATTTTTCTAATGGTCACAGAAACACCAAGCCATTCTCTGGCTTTCTCAGTACAGACTGGAAAAGCTTCTGCCCATATACTGAAGCTATCAATGAGAACCAACATATATTTATACCTTGAACATATGAACATTTGATCATTTGTATAAGGTCAAGCTGCCGATTCACCTCTAAGTTCCTTGATGCTGAACAGGTGTTAGGAAAGGAGGCTCAGGATTTCCACTAGGTCATTAATGGCACAGAAAGCACAGTTCTGAATTACTTCTATCTTACTTGCTGTTCAGTTCCTCCCCATGGAAGATGGTTCTCACTAGTGTTAAAACATAACCCTTTAATAATATTCCATTGCATTGGTTCAGGAGTTGTTAATCCCATGATGCAACAGAAATTAAGAGCTGATAATATTCTTGTTCTCTCCAAATGACTGTTCACAGAAAATGAGATGCAATAAAGTATAGAAAGAAAATTCACAGTATTTTAGAACTAGATATTAATCTACTCTAATTTAACCAGTTTAGATGCCTTTCTCGACACTTTGGCCAATTCAGACCGGGGGAAAGCAATTCTGCACTTTGAGATGAGCTTCACCCTAGTAAAGCTCTGGCTTTCAATGCTCGTATCAGACTAGTGACAGCATGTATAATATTGAGTTCCCTTTACAGATTAGGCTGTTTTACCTACAGACAGTAAACTAAGTTTTATCTAAATTTCCCCAAAGGGGGTACCTTTTAGATCAAGATTAGAATACATTTATTCAATCACCTCTGTAGAATTAGAATCTGATTCTTACAAAAAGCAAGTTACAGAAACATGGTTTTCTCTCCACCTTCATTTTAAAACGTTGCAAGATAGTTTAACAAACCTGGCTTGTTCTTTTGCATAAACACAGTAAGATTAGAGAACTCTCCATTTGGGATACCCAATTATTTACTGAGAAGTTCTGGGGATCAGCTAAAGACAGGAGACACAACAATAGTGGCATTAATCTTCATTAATCTTATCTGGCACGTCAGAGCTACCCAGGCCTGGCCAGAAGATGTCCCGCGATGTCTCGAGCCCTTGGGTTGTGGCTTTGGTCCTCGTTTTCCACAGAGATGTCCTGGCAGAAAGGAATCCATCCCATCCCTTCTTCAGGGCTGGGAGAAATCCTGGTTTCCAGGTTTTTCCTTGACGCTGAGAGTAGGCCCAGACTGAGTTAGTCATTGCAGAGTCCTAGATTCCTCATTCTCCATAGCAGTGATGGTTTCCAGTCTTTTCTCGAGCCAGCCTGCCTCTAGGGTCGCTCTGAGGTTTGTAGGGTTCTTGAAACAGTACCTGTTAAATCCCTGCTCCTGTCATTTAGACAGATCACCTGACTGTTTCCCTGGAAGAGGGCTTTGGGGTCCCATGGCTGGTTTTTCCTGTCTGCATGAGGGGTAGACCCTATTACAGAGAGGAAAGACTTATCTGGATTTATGCAAACCAACATAGTGCCATGAAACATCAAAAAACATACTGAAGGTACAAAAGAAGAGAAAAGCAAGTATTTCACTTTACTCACAGAGATGTAATACACCTGTTTGCTGTGGGTCCTAGTCAGAGAAGCTAAAATCTGTAGAGATAAAGCATACCGTTTAACATGTTTTTAATCCCATGTCAAAACCCTTGATTTCTGCAACTTTTGAAAAATTCAATGATCTTAAGAGCACTGTAACAGGAGTCCAGATAATCCATCAATCATCTTTACCATAGATCTTACCACAAAGGTGCTAGAAGAATTCTGCATGTGATTTAAAGCGTTTCTTATAACAGTTTGACCAGTTCCTTTTCTTTAGAACAACCTCAAACCTTCTACACATTCCTTTACATACATTCTGTAACTTTCATTCATTTAAAAATCAATTTCACTTTAACAGAATTCCTTTCCTTTCTTCCCACTGACGATATCTCCATCCATTATCTTTCTGACTTATGGCATACATCTATAGAAGTACAATGTACAATGTGATCTCCCAAATTTAGACACAAGTTACCAACCATCTCACTTAACATGACAAAACTGTACTCTGCAGTACTATTTCAAAAGCATTAGATCAGTTCCATAGATATTCAAAATGCTTAAAAATGCTCACAATTAAAGCTTTTACAAGGTATATCCACTGGGCAAAAGATCACTTTACATTAGAAACTAACCAGGAGACATCTTAAAATTCTGATTTAGAGGAAAACACAAATACAAAAAGATTAAAACACTCATATATTACCATGAAACAGAAAGCATCTCAGGTCAGGGCTAGGTTGATACCTGGAGACAAACCTTGGCATAAAATAAAATTATCAAAATAATAGCATGCACTTTCAAGCACTAGACAAGCAATGCTATGGCTTCAAATTGTCAGGCTGACATCTGAGACTAATTCAATACAACTTATTACTAAGTAGCCCTAGAAATTTTAGTTACCAAGAGTCTCAGAGATCAGATAGAGCACTGGTAGGACAAACTTTGTAACC